CTTCCTTGTTCCTGCTGTGTCCTCAGTGAATTTCTTGAGGATATCGAAGAGTGCCTTGATGATAATGACGATGTGTCTTGAGGATATAGTGCCTCGAAGACACCTCTGGTCTTATGTGTAAGGTCCTGCCTCTCTGAAGTAAGAGGTACCAGAAGCGGTGGCTCTTCTGGGGAACAAGGGAGGGAGGGGAAATGCTTGCTTCTGGTGGATCAAAGACTAGTGTTGGGGGTGAGAGTTAGTCTTGTGTGAAAGAACAGGGCACTGCGGGTGGAGGATGAGTCAGCCGGGCCACTGAGAGTGTCTGTTGGGAGAACCAGCTGTAAAGAGGTCCCTAGCTGGCAGTAGCGTGGGTCAATGCCACAGCCATGCCGGAGTAATACACTTCTTCCTGGGGCGTCAGGAGGGATTCACTCCTCAAGAAGCCCTAAACTCCTAAGAATCAGATGCGACAAGCAACAACTGATGTGTTGTTCTGTTGCTGCGAGGCTTGAAAGAGAAGCTATGTTCCAGCGGTAGCCTTGTGACTGTCTTATGTCACTGAGAGCATGCAGTCAATGGTTCACACTACTGTGTTGGAAGAATCAATTTGTCGTTTTTACAAAAGGGAATGTTTGATATAGTTTATACCGTGACAAACAAACGCGCCTCTCTCTTTGGAAAAGACCTAAAATCGTACTTTTGTAACTCTTGAATGATCGTGAGAAGTCTGCGACAGGATTCAAATTGCATCTGATGTGGTGGTAAAGAGGGCCACTTTAACTGGTGGCGAGTGGGGCACACTGACTGGAGACTAATTGGTACCCGCAGCTCTCAGCTCGTTCAGTCAACGTTAGATTGGCTTAAAAATGTCCTTTATCGTCGGTGGACGTCACTCACAATATCCTTCGCACCAGCACTGCACATGTAGCTAAGGCACACCTTGTGTCATAACTCATAAATCTCTCTATTTACACTTCACTCTCGCCGAAAAAATATTTACTTTTAAACTTGAGACTCTTGAGTGTGTTGACAAATGTTTACCCCGTTCAACGTTGTAAAAGTTTATAAACTAGAGGTAGTGTTGGTCCACTGGCGAGCGCACAGAGACTGTGGCCAGTGTCAGTGTGAGAGTGTAGTAATGCACTAGGATGGAGTATGTGTGGACCCCCAGCCATCCCTGTTCCTCCCTCCCTCCCACCCACCATCCCTCCGTCAAACACACACACAGGCCAGGAACTAACGTGGTGAGCCATCCACACCGCTACCACTACCTCATGTCTTTGATTTTCGCTCACTCCCTCGAGTCTCTCTTGTTTGCAAGAACTTGTATTAATTTTCCAGGTATGAAATATGGTTTATGAACCCTCAAATATATTTTTTTGCTATTACCTTTAGTCGGAAGACTTTCAGCTTAGAGAGAGTGTCCTGATGTTGCTATAGTGGTCACACAAACACAGTACTTAAAGAATGAAACAAAATAATACTCTATCCAGGGATGCTTCTGCTTCTATTTAGCCGAGTAATTCAATAGATTCGACGGGCGCCAGGGATTAACCAGCACCTGGGAACGTCCAGACTGACTGAAGGATGCTACACCCAAGGGAAATGAGTCACTGGACGAACCCACCAAGATACGAGTCGGTGCTTGAGTCATAAGGCTTAATTACACTGTACAATCAAATATCCGTTTCACTAAATCAACTATGTTGATGAGAATATGAAAGCAGTTTTTGTGTAGAACACATTTTCTTAAAATTCATATAGTTTATAGAGTAACCGAGAGGATTATTTCATCGTGTTCATGCAAAATTCCCACATATAGACCCCTGGCTGTCTTCAAGAAGGCTCTGGACAGGCACCTAAGTCAGTTTTGTAGATGAATGGCTCAGAGAACAGACAAGTTGATAAATTAGACACATGTGCAACTCTTGGGTATCTTTATTGAGGAAACGTTTCGCCACACAGTGGCTTCATCAGTCCATACGTAGGAGAAACTTGAAGAACAGGAGGAGAATGAGGTAATCAGTCCCTCAACCTTGAGTCGATGTGTTCAGTCCATCAGTCTTGAATAGAATACGGCACATGAGCGGAGAAGCAGCTTATAAACCGTATGGCAGGAGAGGTCCAGCAGTCATAGGTGGTGTCACATTTGTTCAATGTGGAAGTAGGTCGTGCCCAAGAATTAGGCAAGCGTGCCTAATTCTTGGGCACGACCTACTTCCACATTGAACAAATGTGACACCACCTATGACTGCTGGACCTCTCCTGCCATACGGTTTATAAGCTGCTTCTCCGCTCATGTGCCGTATTCTATTCAAGACTGATGGACTGAACACATCGACTCAAGGTTGAGGGACTGATTACCTCATTCTCCTCCTGTTCTTCAAGTTTCTCCTACGTATGGACTGATGAAGCCACTGTGTGGAGAAAAACGTCTCCTCAATAAAGATACCCAAGAGTTGCACATGTGTCTAATTTATCACCTAAGTCAGTACCTGACCAGCCGGGCTGTGGTTCGTACGTCGGTTTGCGTGCTGCCAGCAGTAACAGCCTGGTTGATCAGGCCCTGATCCACCATGAGGCCTGGTCACAGACCGGGCCTCGAGGGCGCTGACCCCCGAAACTCTCTCCAAGTATACTCCAGGTATGGGTATACAACTCTTGTGAAAAAAAACAAGAGTTAAAAGGACACATTTACTAACATGTGCAAAGAATGTCATAGTATCAGTAAGCAGTACAAACATTTTAAAACTGTTCAACCTGGCTGTGTTGTCTGGAGGCCCTGGCTGACTGGCAGCGTTCACTATCCAGTAGAAACTGGGAAGCATTGCAGGACTTTATTTACCTTTGTACCATAACCCCATATCCACAACATCCTGATGGAATCTTTCTACATGTTTATGGCAGATACGTTGTCAGCAAAAAAAAAAAAAAGACAAATGTGAATGGAAGAAATACAGTTTGGTACCATGTTGCCGCCCAGTAGCTGATCCATCAGTGTCATGTAGTTGACGTCTCTGCGTCTGCCAAAGCAAATTGTTGCAGAACTTGAACGAATGCCAAACTGCTATCTCCACATCATTCATTGCCATCAGAAAAATCATTGTCGACCTTGAGCTAGCCAATCTGTAGACCTACAGATATACCTTGTCTAATAATCCTGGCCACAGGTTGGGAACTTTTGTAACAAATATTTGAATGTTGAATGATCCTTTCCCATTATCTTCACAAGATCAAGGTTGTTGTACACCGTTGGCAATACAATCTTGTCCTTTGAAACCAAAGGGTTATTGACTACACTGACATGACTGAGCCACTTGGTGGTCTAACAGTACGGCTCCTCGGGTGGTCTTTCCAAGGCAACAGACGTTATATTTGATGCTCCATCGTGATTTCAAAGGAGGGAACCAAACAAAATGTTACACAGCCGAAATTATGCATCTTGAAACCATGCAAATAAATGGTCTGGTATATTATATTTTACTCTCAAAATACAAAAAAAATATATGGCACACAATGTACACCTCATGAAAAGCATGAAAATCGAAATTGTTAAGTTTTATATTTAGGTTAGGTAAGATTTGTCAGGAAACAGAAGTGTTTCCTGACGCGGGTCTTAGTCAGATAACCCACACCTGGAGCTTTTCGTCATCTCACCGAGGCCTTCCGCTGGCTTACCCATCGACTTCTTTAAAAATAATGGCTATAATTATAATTGTATACTTTTTGTGTTGTATTATGAAGGAGTCACTGCTGTGACAGTGGACACTGAGGTTGTGTATCACCGTCCTGAAGGAGTCACTGCTGTGACAGTGGACACTGAGGTTGTGTATCACCGTCCTGAAGGAGTCACTGCTGTGACAGTGGACACTGAGGTTGTGTATCACCGTCCTGAAGGAATCACTGCTGTGACAGTGGACACTGAGGTTGTGTATCACCGTCCTGAAGGAATCACTGCTGTGACAGTGGACACTGAGGTTGTGTATCACCGTCCTGAAGGATTCACTGCTGTGACAGTGGACACTGAGGTTGTGTATCACCGTCCTGAAGGAGTCATTGCTGTGACAGTGGACACTGAGGTTGTGTATCACCGTCCTGAAGGATTCACTGTTGTGACAGTGGACACTGAGGTTGTGTATCACCGTCCTGAAGGATTCACTGCTTGTGACAGTGGACACTGAGGTTGTGTATCACCGTCCTGAAGGATTCACTGCTGTGACAGTGGACACTGAGGTTGTGTATCACCGTCCTGAAGGATTCACTGCTGTGACAGTGGACACTGAGGTTGTGTATCACCGTCCTGAAGGATTCACTGCTGTGACAGTGGACACTGAGGTTGTGTATCATCGTCCTGAAGGATTCACTGCTGTGACAGTGGACACTGAGGTTGTGTATCATCGTCCTGAAGGATTCACTGCTGTGACAGTGGACACTGAGGTTGTGTATCACCGTCCTGCAGGGGATAAATTTCCTCAAATTTATCTTACTCCCCCTTATTTCTTTATTCGTACTAGCAAAGTTCGGGATTCTCTCATCTGGCGTTACTGTGGCAGTCAGACAACACTTTATGCACAGCTAGGGAAACTAAACTACTTTTTGTAAACACAGTGAAGACAAAGGAGAGAATTTTGGATATGGACAGTCCTTATGTATATTAACTTGAAAACCATGACTCATACACTATATATATTACATAGTATGCATGATCTTCTTGGGAAAAAAAATAAACTATTAATTTTTATATTAATGTAAATGAAAAAATATATCTTTAAACACATAAAGAAAATTTTAGAAAGGACTTAATTTTCAATGAGTTATTAGTAATTGACCAGTTCTAGCTATTCACCACACACACACACACACACACACACACACACACACACACACACACACACCACACAACACACACAACACACACACACACAACACACACACACACACGACGCGCACGCACAACACACACACACACGCACGCACGCACACACACACACACACACACACACACACACACACACACACACACACACACACACACACACACACACACACACACACACACACATCACACACACCGCACGCACGCCAACACACACACACACACACACACACACACACACACACCACACACACACACACGCACACACACACACACACACACACACACACACACACACCACACACACACACACACACACACACACACACATTATCAGGAGAAGAGTGGTGGAACACCTAGAAAGGAATGATCTCATCAACAGCAGCCAGCATGGTTTCAGGGACGGGAAATCCCTGTGTCAAAACCTAGGAGTTCTATGACGGGTGACGCAGTAAGAAAAGAGAAGAGGGGTGGGTGGATTGCATTTTTTTGGATGCAAAAAGGGTTTAAACCCCGTTCCACAAAAGAGATTGGTGCAAAAACTGGGGACAAGCGGGAAATAAAGGGAAGGCATAAAAGGGATCAGGGAATACTTGTCGGAAAGACAGCAGCGAGTCATGGTACGTGGCGAGGTGTCGAGTGGGCACCTGTACCACGGGGTCCGCAGGGTCAGTCCTGGCCGGGCTTTTTTCTGGTATTGTGAACACATGAGGGAAAGGGAAATAGACTTGGGTGCCCCTGTTTGCGATGAGTGAAGTTGATGAGAAGAATACACTCGATCGAAGAAGGCAGAACTAAAAAGGGGATCTGGAAGGCTGCGAACTGGTCCAGCATTGGGGCTCCTGGAGTCAATCCCCAAGTGCAAAGTCATGAAGATTGGGAAGGGCAAAGAAGGCCGCAAACGGAGTACAGTCTAGGGGGTCAGAGACTACAAACCTCACTCAAGGAAAAAGATCTTGGGGTGAGTATAACACCAGGCACATTCCTGAAGCGCACATCAAACCAAATAACTGCTGCAGCATATGGGCGCCTTGCAAACCTCAGAAACAGCATTCCGACATCTAATAAGGAATCGTTCAGGGCCCTTACACCGTATACGTTAGGCCCATATTGGAGTATGCGGCACCAGTTTGGAACCCCCACCTAGCCAAGCACGTAAAGAAACTAGAGAAAGTGCAAAGGTTTGCAACAAGACTAGTCCCAGAGCTAAGAGGTATGTCCTAGAGGGGAGGTTAAGGGAAATCAACCTGACGAACTGGAGGACAGGAGA